GAACATGGTCTCTCCCTCAGAATATCTGATTGCACTGTACTCACCCTGCTTGTGGTGATGTGAGATGATGCAGTGCCAACATGATGGGATGGAGTGAGGAGAATGACATAAGCATTGGGACCTAACATTAGCTACTATAATCTTTACTTGAACACCAGCATTATGATACCACGACAGTCAGTCTGACAACCAAGACAGCTACTAAGTGACTAATGAGTGGGTGTATACCTTCTGAAGATGTGAACAAAGGGATGATTCATGTCAGAGCTAGATGGTGAGAAAGATTTTGTCACACTATCAGGATGGTGTGCAATATTATACTTATAAATTGTGTATTTCTGGAAATTTCCAGTTAATATTTTCAGACAACATTAACTGCAGGTAACTAAAACCAGGGAAAGGGAAACCATGGATATGGGGGATTGCTGCACTTCTGATTGTAGCATCCAGTTTGTAAAGAAAAATAATTCTATCTATTAGGGGAACAAATTTAATGGATGACCTGAAACTTTCTGAAGTTTCGGGTTATTTCTATGTCAAGACGGAAACTATCCTACATATGCAGAAAATACACACACACCCCTTCACTAAACTAATCCAGAATTGTCGATGTTGGAAGGCATATAGAATTGTAGCCTGCCAAGAAAGGAGACATATTCCTGGCCTGTGTGGCTAAGTGGTTGAGCATCAACCTATGAACCAGGAGGTCACGGTTCAATTCCTGTTCAGGCATATGCCCAGATCGCGGGCTCGGTCCCTGGTGTGGGGCGTGAAGGAGGCAGCCAATCAATGATTCTCTCTCATCATTGATGTTTCTATCTCCCTCTCCCTTTCTCTCTCTGAAAACAATAAAACATATTTTTAAATTTTTTTACAAAGAGGAAAAAGAAATGAGACATATATGTCCGTAAGAGCTGGTCTGCTAAAATGAGAATGTGTTTCTTAAATACCCTGCTAGTTAAATGGTGAACCTAAATGCTCACAGAATTCATGCCCAGACATCACTCTTTTCAGCCACAATCATCACCCCATTAACAGCAGCAGGGATGACCCATGTAGGCTATTTACAGCCCTATTAAATGTGAATATTTCATATCTCTCCATCCTTAGAAAGCTTTGTGTATCAGTCTTCTCTATGGAATGTGGGCCTTTCTCTCTGGGCTTCAGAAGAGGACTTAAAAAAAAACAACACACACCACCAAAAAAACACACCAAAAAAACGTAAGTTGGTTAAACAGGTGAAGTCGGGAAATTTTCTCACGTTGAGATTTATTGGATTGTGAACAGTCTCTCAAGGGAAGCACCAGATGCCCCATCAACTGGGTTATTTACTTAAAAGGACTGTGGAGTGAGTGGAAGAGAGGCCGCCTGCGGGAATAATTTTGTGTTGATCCCTAAATGACCGACTTGATAGTCTTACAATTCTCAACAGTTTCCAAATCTTCAGTGTCTTCAGAATCTTTCGAATGAGAGGAAAGGCCACCCTGCTTACAATCGCCACTCCGTATAAAACCAAACAAAAACAAACCCACCGACAGAAAGCACAGCTCAGCATCCCTTTATCGGAGCTAGCTAAGCGGCAGGGACGCATCGGCTCAGAGAGAACACGGATTCTGGCCCCGGGCCTCGGGTCAGCCAAGGACTTGCTTTTCCCTCCTTTCTCCAGTTATTTATTTTTCTTTTAGTCCTTTTGGTTTTAAACATCCCAAAACCAGCATTTTTTGTTGTTATTCCTCACCCAACGATATTTTTCCATTGATTTTTAGAAAGAGTGGAAGGGAAGAGGAGAGGCACAGAGAGAGAAACATTGACCACCTAGACTGGTTGCCTCCTGCATGTGGCCCCCCTCCGCCCCCCCGACCAGGGCCAGGGATCAAGCCTGCAACTAAGGTACAGGCCCTTGACCAGAATCTAACCTGAGACCCTTCAGTCCACAGGCCAACACTATCCCCTGAGCCAAACCGGCCAGGGCCCAAATCCAGCATTTTTATCTTACAACATGCACACATGTAATGATATTCTCAGGTAATGTGATCTGTCGATGGGCAAATTCCTGTAAGGTCTCTGAAGGCCACTGACACCCACCCCCTAATCCCATGGAAGTTTTGAGAGGAAGCTGGACAACAGTGCTTAGTGTCTGCAGCTCTCCACCTGTGATGAGCGGAACTATAGATAAGAAGACAGACCCAGAAGGTCTGGAAAGGCGGCTCAGCTGTGGGCTGAGCTCTCCCAATTATCTGGAGGAGCTGCGACAAATGGAGCCGCACTCCTCACCATATACTCGCACCCACACACCAGCAGCACCCACTCTGTAGAGGAACCGTGCGGCGCTCACATACTGTGGGTGGCAGTCATGCAGGGCTGGGGAGAGAGCAGCTGTGGTGAAGATGACACTAGAGGTATAAACTGCCTGGTCCCGGAAAGCTAGAGGAGGAAAACTCAAGGACTCCCCCTCTCCAGCTGCACTAAGACCACCTTAAAGAGCCCTGGGGAACGCTCTCTAGCCTTTCAGCCAAATGCACCCCTCCCCTAAGGCCATCTGGGACATCAAAACTTCTACAAGAAGGGGAGGGTTTGGGGTAGATAAGCGAAATGGCTCCATGCAAAGATCACAGCCAATTTCATCCAGCTCTGAACTGCCTGAGTGGGTCAAGCAACAAGTTTAAAGTAAAAGTCCTCTTCTGGATGTTATATGGCAATGAGGGTGACAGATGAGGCCTCATGACGAAATGCAGTAGCAGAGAGTCCTGGGTGCTGACTGGACAAACAGAGGACAGGACCCTCATAAAACCCAACCATGTCCTTGTGCTTGTATATTACACTTTCTTCACCATCCAGTAACTGCATATAATCATGTATATAAATCCACGATTGCCTTGTTTTGTAGGTGGTTTCTTTATTTCTCTCTGTTTGACTTCTGATTACAGAGCTTTACCCCAAAGCCTGAGATTTGACTCTCAGAGAGATGTGAGCTCTCCAGCTTGCTCCTCCCTGTCTTCTCGAATGAAAGGTAAGTTAACAGAAACAGCCATGGCTTGGATTCCCATTCATTTCACCTTTGAGAAGGGCAGGAACCACAGTCTGGTTTCCCATGAGTCTTAGAATGTTCTTTATCATCTGCCTTCTCTATATGTTATTTTATTTCATTAAGGAGGGAGATTTGCAAGCCTTTAAAATGTTTCTGTTTCATCAGTTAACTATTTCTTATAGGCACCATTTAGTATCTTTTCTCTTTCTTAAATAAAAAACTGCTGAAATGTAACATCTTACAGAACCCTCTTTGCATGTGTGTGTGTGTGTGTGTGTGTGTGTGTGTGTGTGTCTCCCAGCCCACAATATACCGTTGTACTTGCCAGTCTCCATAATCACATGAGCCAACTCCTTGCAATAAATTTCTTTCTATGTACATGCATGTCTTACTGGTTCTGCCTCTCCGGAGAACCCTGAATATTACCAACACCAATAATATGATATATGCACCAATTCATACTCTGACCAGCAGTGGATAATAAGTGTTCCAATACACAAAATAGAATTGGTTCACTTGCCCTTAAACTCTTCCCTTCCTATAGGGCAGTGACTAGTTTCATCTTCTAGGTGGGGAAAAAGATGGGTTTATTTTGTGTCCCCTCTGGAAATTATTCAGTGACTTCAAGGGTCTATGCTACAGAATGAGGCTCAAACTCTATTAGGCACAGTGAGATTGAGTCATCCTACACTCCTGGGCTCCTCTCTGACATTCTGCTGCCCAATGGGGTTCAAATTATTTTCTAATATGTCATCTATGATATAAAAGCTTACCTGGGACCCCAACATATCATATGTTGAGCCTTTTTGCTGGTGCAGGCAGGGAGAGGGTCCCATACTCACAGTTTCTTTCTCACCCTTGAGGTTACCTCTCAGGGCACCTCTAGTGACAGGGAAGGTCTCAGAGCCCAGGGTAAGATCTGCATCCTGCTCAGTTCTGGACTCTAGTCAGATGGGTCCTGTTCTGTGTCCTGCATGAGTTTTAAACACCCACCCAATGCCATCAGGGTTGCCGAAGATGTCCTTTTCTCTCCATTTTCTCTTCCCCTCACCCCAGTCTCGCTACCTTAAAAAATTCCTTCCCCATCTACAAGGTCCAACATGACTTGTCCCTCTCTTGAGCCTCTGTGATCTGCTCTGTTGGAGTCGAGCTCCCCTTGAGATCATCACTGGCACTTTCAGGCACATCCCTTGGTTTCACTCTGGTGCTGTGACTTGGAAGCTCCCAAACTTGAGTTAGTTAATGACCCCAGATCTCAGTTTCTTCATCTGTATAATGCGAACATCTGGCCTCCCCCATGGTGCTTCACAAGTATTACATGAGTTGACACTTGCTTACTTAATACACACACAGTATAACATTTGCTTTAACTGACTAGTCAGGCCAGAGACGCATGGGTTATAGTAAATCTCTCCACAACTCCATTTCTACCACAAATTCTGCGGGCCTTGAGATGTTATCTCCCAAGTTACCTCAGCATGTCTTCCTAGAAGCAATAAATAAATGCAGCCATTCTTACCCTTAAATTCTCTAAATCAGTTACTAACAGAGAGGTGCCTGTTCTAAAGTTGACACACATTCTAACATAATTTTGCATCAATGGTACCATTTATCTAGAATAAAGCATCCAATTTGCTCTTCAACTCTGTGCTGGAGGCTTGTGGAACATATTGGGTTCCTGAACCAAACACTGCCAGCAAATGTAGGGTCAACTTATCGTGAAGACAATATAAGACCTGTGCTTTCTTCCAGTACATTCAAATTTGTGAGATGCTTCTTCTACTCAAGAATGATAGCACATTAAAAAAAACAAGGTTAACTCAGTTTTATTCCTTTGAAATAACATTCATAGAATCTAGAAATGGAATTGGAAAGCATCACGAAATATGATAAAGCACGTCACTGCTTCTACTTGGGCTTTATAAAATCAAATGCTGCCAATGGGTAAAAGGGAAATGAAATTTGCACTTACCTGATGGAACCACCTGTATCACCTTTTCCCAAGATCCATATGGGAATATTTCAAGAAGGCAGGAATAGGAACCGACGTCAGCCTCAGAGGCATTGTGAAAAGCCAGCATCATATCGTTGGGACCCGAGGTTGACTTCAAGAAGTAAACCCTACCAACATAGGGCTCCCTTATTTCCCTCTTTCCCCGTTGCATTGATCTTGAACCACTCCATCTGGACTAAGGTGCCCAATGGATACTGACACTCGAGAGTCAGAGTCTCTGCAAGTTTGACTCTTGTGTCCCAAAATATCTCTTCACCTAGAGCTGAAATAGACATCATATTCATTCAATTAGACATTATGCTTAAAACACCAAATAGATACCTTAAGCTGTTCTAAGCTCTCTAAGACCTAGCAAGATAGTAAATTGAGACCATGGTAGAGACTAACGACTTCTACCTTAGTCTAAAAAGGTTTTCACTGCTGGGAATAGGCACTTGGAACTTTTCCTTTTTCTGAACAAGTGGAAAATTATCTAAGCCAACTATAGAGCATTATAATTTCAGAACATGTCACACTATAAGACCAAAAAAAGGACTGAAGACATGATCTTTACCTTTGTGTACATGAAGAAGAGCCACGAGGAAAGTAAAATAATCCATCTCTGGAAAGCGCCTGGGAGGCAGGTCTGGAAAAAAGACAATTTTATAATGTTACTTGCAGAGGCCCAGCACAGGGCACTGTTTCCTTCCTCTCAGATACGATCAGTGGTCTCTCCTCTTTCTGAAGTGTGAACACAGGAAAAAGGTCTGAGCTTCAAAGTCAGCGTTGCTCTCGTACAAGGATGGGCAGATTTGAACTGCTTCTCTCGGGGAAACAACTTATTTTCAAGCTTTCATTTCATTCATTGAACAAACATTTTCTGGGTGCGTTTTCTCTAGATAATGAGGATACAACAGTCAATTTATTCTTTAAAATGTTTGCCATCATCGAACTTATGTTCTAGTGGGAGGAGACAGAAAGGAAAACAAAACAGTAAAAAGTAGAATCAGTTATAGGTGGTAAGTGCATGAGGGAAAACACAGCAGGGGCATGGATCAGGGGAGAGGCTCTAGCATTTCCCTTTGATAGAAAGGCCCAGAAGTCTTTCCTGAGGACCTGAGGTTGGAGCAAAGACTGAAGGGTGAGGGGAGGAGTCTATGACTGGGGATCTGGCAGCCCCATTGGGCAGGGCCTTCCTTTGCTGAGCTCAGAATTGGTTTGGGGTGATGAAAGAGTCACCGAAGGCCTTCCAAATCTACCATTATGGTTGATTTTTTAAAAACTTTTTATTTTTAAATAATTATAGAGTCACAGGAACTTTCCAAGATAATACAGAGCTCCCATGTACCTCCACCCAGTATCCCTAACTGTTACATCTTATATGATTATAGTTCAATATCAAATGTGAAATCAACAATGTCATGGTAATCAGAACATTATGATGTGTACCTATAATAATGTATGGTGCCAACTTAGGTTTACATAGCGTTCTATTTTCCAAAAGCTTTCACATTGATGATATCATTTGTAACAGCTTTGTGGTAGTTATTTGACATATCTGTGATCTCTGTTTTGTAAGTAATTCATTGAAACCATTTGCTGACAATACCAGCACAAGATAGACATGATCTCTACCCCCAAATCACCCAATAATAAAATGTTGGGTCGGGCAGATTAAAGAAGAAATTTGTTATAATAAAACTTGGTCATTTTTATACACGTCATTTGACCAAGTTGTATAACATCCGAGAGAGGGAATTCGTTCCAATAGATTTGGGCAGGGTGTCATAGGAAGAGTATACCAGACTCTGGAACTTCCAACCACAATACAAATGTCCAAGTAGAAAAGTGGGAGAAAGAGCAATGGAGTGACAACATGGGACACTACCAGGAAACAATGTGACTACAGTGTAGTGTGTGGGGACGTGACAAAAATGAACTTGGGGCCAGATTGAAAGGGTGTTGAACGACATACACGAATCACTTCACAGTGGGTCGTCAGGGACCAGGGCATCCTGCTGCATCTGTGACTCAGCACCAGGAACCATTCCTGGAACGTACATCTAAGGCACAAACATAGCTCTGAGAGAATGCCTTCAGAGTTGTAGCGGGAACCATTGAGATGAGATGTGGACAGGAAATGCCAGGAGACTGACTCCAGATGGATTGGGTGAGACAATGTTTGCCCTTACAGATTTTCTGATAGGGTTATATGTGCAAGCGGAAGCAATTGGAGGCTTTTAGGTACCAAAATGATACGATCTGATTTGAATTCTCAGATAGACAACTTCCCTCACTCCTAACAGGAAGCTGGCTTTGTTTAGGATCCACTCCTTCCCCTGCACCATAGGAATAGTAGAACAAATCTAAGCCATGATACAGACAACTAGGACCTATTTGGGGGCAGGAGTGGAGAAGCCAATTGTGGACTGAATTGATGCATTCAAAGTAAGGGAAATTCTTTACATTTGATGTCAAAGACACCTCTCTCTCTCTCTCTCTCTCTCATCGATCAGCTGCCTCCTGCACATCTCCCACTGGGGATGTGCCCACAACCCAGGTACATGCCCTTGACCGGAACCGAACCCGGGACCCCTGAGTCCGCAGGCCGATGCTCTATCCACTGAGCCAAACCGGTTTTCGGCCTTATTGTATTATTATTATTATATTTGAATAAGAAAAAATGTTGCCCCAGTTACCACAAGCAACCAGAGGACAAAGAGTGTGGCAGAGAGAGACGGGAATGATTTGGGTCTCAGATGGCATCACTGAGGTACTGAATTCAGGATTCTAGAGTCTGAGCACATTGTGGAAGGCTATAAATTCCTATATTTTACAAGCCTGTGAGAAAAGCAGTTTCTGTTTCCTACACCACATACCTCGGAACTCCTACAATTGTTCTGGTTGCTGCATGAAGACTGGATTGGAAGGAAGCAGAAACGGGTACCAAACTTAGGACACTGTCACTGTGATCTGAGTAAGGTGGGCAGGCAGCTTGTTCTCAAAGATTTCCATGGAGATGAAGAGCAATAGACTGACTGCCAGACATTATCCACTATCAGTCACACAGGGATATAATAATTATGGGTGTCCTTGACTCCAGGGCCCCAGTCAGGGTCCAGTTAGGAAAATAGAGCCCATGGCCACTGGTTCAATGGAGGGCATTTCACAAGAAAAATTACTAGAAAGAATAATGGGAGAGCAAAAGGAGCCAAACAGGCAGGGAGGCGACTCAGAGGAGCATAAGGAGGAACCCATTCCCACCATGCTGGTTAGAAGTCCTGGGAGGAGCCATGCTGCTCATTATGGAGGCTCCTGTTTGAAGCTGGAGCCAAGAAGGAAATAAAATGCTTCTAGAGATGTTGCAAAAGGTCAAGGAATAGATCTGTCAGAGAAAAGGGGAAATAGTAGGAGAGAAAACTGATGCTCAGAGAACCTGAATGACTGCTAGTGAAGGGCATCTATGGAGAACTCACAGCTGATGTCAGACTCCATGGTGAAACTTCCCTCTAAGAGCAGGAGCAAGGCAAGGAGGCCCACTTGCACACCACTATTCACATTGTATTGGAAGTCTTAGCCTGAGCAATTAGGCAAGAAAAAGAAATGAAAGACGTCTAAATTGCAAGGGGAAAAGCAATCTATAGGCTCAATGCAAACCTTATAAAGAATTCAAAAAGCTGGTCCCAGATTCATATAGAATTACAAAGGGGCCTTAGAAAAGAAAAAAAGTGACATTCCGAGTTACAAGTTGGAAATAAATAATGCAGAAGATCATAGTCCAAGTTGTCAATGATTCATGATATAAATAATCATTAAATGCTTATTAAACAATTGCCAAAACATATATCAATAAATCAATATGTTTATCTACTAATCTATCTATCTGGAGTGTGTGTGGTGTGTGTGTGTCACCAGTAAAAGAGAGAGCATAAGGGTCGGGTAAAACATGGCAGAGGTGCAGGGGAGAGGAAGGATGGACAAAGGGACAGAGCAGACAAGTGCAGCACACGGGGCAATGGATCCTAAAAGAAATGAGATGTAACAGCACCACCCACACTTTCAGCAGCTCCTATACCCAGCTCCTCACTGAACCCTCCCTTTCTGGAGTAAGGATTCAGGTATGTGGGTGAATTACTGAAAATGGGGCACTAATTGGTAATAACTTGTAGTTAACCCTTCATTCCCAAGGCATCCAAAGCCACCTGAGCTAAGAGATGAAGACGGGACAAGTGACTAAAACCAAGGGAGGGCACAGATCTCCATGAAAGGTGCAGGGAGACATGTGGCTGGAGATAAAGTTCAGCTGTTACAACTTTGCGAAGGATGAGCCCGATTTATCACCATCTAACGAAAGACAAATAGAGAGTACGCTTGAGCTATTTTTGTTGTGTAGGCAGCCATTTTTTCTATGATTTATGAAGGGATTTTGGTTTGAGGTTTTTTTCTAATAGAGCTGTCTGTATATGAGAGCTTCATTCTCAAGGAAGTCATTAATCAAAATATTATTGGAATTCTCTACTGCTGAACACGTCTCAGTGAACCACGTAAGTGTGAATTCATCCACAAGCTCACCTGGGACGGCAGGCTCCTAGGGGACCTGGGCTGGTAACAGTCTCCAGGTACACTGTTTTCTTTCTCTTAGGCTGTCCACACAGACACTTCTCTATCCCCCAGTGTCACCACTTCTGCTTTCTCTGGTACTTCCTGCCTTCCCAGATGTCTCTGCCCTTTCTGAACACTGGGAGGATTCTAGTGTCTATTCCGTGACCCGAGCCCACCTGCCCCAGCACCTGCTGGAACCTGATTGCATCCCTCACTGCTTTAGACAACTACTGCCATGCGGGACAACAGAAAGCCTGTGCTAACCTTTGAGAACCAATGACTGGGGCTTGGAAGACCATGTCCTTCTTATCTGTGAAGAGGCTCATCCTTCAGCTGGAACCTTACAGTCTTGGTTTCTGCTTCCTGCCTCAAAGTGTCTCCTTAAAAGAATGTTTCCAATGAGGGTACATGTGGTTTCTCCTAACCCATGATACCCTACCAGTGGTCGGCAAACTGCAGCTCGCGAGCCACATGCGGCTCTTTGGCCCCTTGAGTGTGGCTCTTCCACAAAATACCGACTTCTGCGTATGGGCCACAAGGTTTCAATCGCACTGTACATGCACACCCGCACGTGACATTTTGTGGAAGAGCCACACTCAAGAGTACAAAGAGCCACATGTGGCTCGTGAGCCGCAGTTTGCCGACCACTGCCCTAGACCTTTGCCAAGTCCCCTCTGAGGGATCAGTAAAAATGCACTTGCATTCAAAGCAGAGACTTCAGTTTGGGTTCCATGGGGCATCTTCTAGGACAAGGTTCTGCAAACTATGGCCCGGGGGCCTCCTTTGTCCATGTAGTTGGAACGCAGCCAGGCCTGTTTGTTGGCATATTGTCAATGGCTGCTTTTGTGCTCTGACCAGTACTTGTGACAGAGACCAAATGACCTACAAAGCTGAAAATAATCACTTTCTGATGCATTACAGGAAAAGATGGCCAACCCTTGCATAGGATAGGATGTTGATAGTGAACATTTATCATATAAGTTCATCTTGCTCAGTCTTTCTGGAGAGAAGGGAGTTTCACTCTGATAGTCCAGACACTGGTAA